TCCCTTTGGTTTTCATAGACTAAGGGAAATTCCAGCAGTGCCTTCTCCCCATATGTCATAAATACTGTCCAAGTCAGCAACCAGGAGAAGTACCTTATCGTAAGTAGCTCCCATGCTGATCCTAATGCTGACCCTTGACCTCTGACCCTGGATAAAGCTTGAGCACCACACTCTTGTCTTTCTTCTGCAGCTCAATGAGGTAGATGTGGAGACAGGGTTCCTGAAGGCATCAGATGCCTTCTGTGATGTAGCTTGTCTCATGTATGACAGCAGTGACCCGCATTCCTTCGACTATTGTGCCAGCATATACAAGGTCAGTCACGAAAACATTACAGGCGCATTTAAAGGATGAAGTGTTCATTTGTTTTTGCTTTACTTTGTGTCATTGAGATCGGTTTCCATCTGTTTTGCTGTATTGTGCGCTGGTGGCTGCACACAATCAGCCTGGTTGTTCATGCATTAATACTCTCTCTACAGTCTTTAGCAGTCTCTACTGTCCATATATGTAATTACAAAAAGCAAAAATAATTTGGGAGCTGAAAATTGCCAGGGCTAGATAATCTATAATAATAAATGGAATAGCAAGGGAGAGATACATTGACCTGCTTCCATCATCATTATTACTTTATTGATTTTTATTCTAGCAAAACAAAACTTAATCTGTAAATATAATTTGTCAGTTATTAAACAGGAGAAGGCAGACTACTTCCAGCTCCCGCCACGATTCAGAATCTCCTGGTAGCAAGATCTCATAACAAAAAAGGTTTCCCTCTGGAAAGATGCACCACTTGCATAAAGGGTAGAAATGGTTGAGGGTGCTCACTGAGATGAAGCAGTGGAAGAGAGACACTGGTGAGAAGTCATCAGGATTTCATTTTTTTTAATGTCACAAGAATGTTAAAGAATTTAAACCACATTTTCAAAAGTGTTCCAAAGTGGGGTCTCGTTTCTGATCATGGTGTTGGCAGGAGGAATATTTGTTATTATTCTGATTGCTAGTTGAATCAAAAGCTCCATTTAAGGACGACTTGTGATTTAACTTAATTACTGTCAAGCTCTTAAACACCACTAAATGCAATGGTTCACAGTCATGTTTTACAATAAGTTATCTGAATTTCAGTAGGGCCCCCTTTAGAAAATCCAACAACTTCTCTCTCAACTAAACTCTTTATCCCATTTCTTATTCAGCAACACTACATGGAGAGCAACATCCCATGTGTGCTGGTTGCTTCCAAGGTGGACCTTTCTGAAGTCAAGCAGTTCCACGGGATGGCTCCAGCAGAGTTCTGTTATAAACACAGGCTGCCTCCACCGCTGCCCTTCTCCAGCCTGTTACTCGACTCCACCAGCAAGAACATCTACACCAGGCTTGCCTGCGCAGCAATGTACCCGTACGTTTCAGTTCCACCACCTACGACTATTCACGGAGAATCAGGGTTTGCTACAGATGACGAAAATACAAAAATCAGTCACTGACATGGAGAAGATTTTAGAAGAAGGATAAAAAGATTAGAAATCTAGTGTGTTTGTCTCCACAGTCTGCTCTGGTGTTCTGGTGATAGGTAGAGAAGTAAAGGAAGATAGACACTTGTTTAAAGAGCCAGTGTTGTGCTTTTTAAGCTTTCAGTTTATTTCCGTGGCTGTTTTGTGGATGTAAATGGTCAACAAAGACAGCAGTCCACAGCAATGAGGGTTATTCCTTCCCACGAAAACACTGCTTCTTACCTGCCTGACACACCTGATGTGAAGTCCAGGCTTTTCTGCGTCACTTGTTTACTTCACGACGTAGCACATTTTCTTAAAGTTTGGTACACCCTCAAACAAAGAAGCAGCAGCTCCCTTGCAGCATTTCTTCACTACAGCTGCTTCTGCCCGTGCCACATCCTTCTACTCATAGATCTGGGGATACAATACGTAACCAACATTGCCTCACTTTTGTCGAGCCAGCTGACGAATGAGGGCACAGTGAGCTTTTTGTGACGGGGACCTTAAAGAGACAGGAGCTAAAAGGGAACGTGTCAGACAGAGGGTGAGAGGAAATGCTGCAGCAACGTACAGTATGAGAAAAATAATGTGATTTAGTAAACCCCCAAAAAAAAAGTAAGAAACCGGAAAAGGAAAAAAAGGGGCCCTTTTAAAACCAGGAACCGGGCAATAAGGAAGGGCGCCGAACAATTGGGAATTTTTTTCCCCCCTCCAATCTCCAGACACCTGAATGGTTCAGACATGAGCAACACATCATTCTGGCTGAGAGTGGCGTTGGGCTCGGCTGTGGTTGCAGTTCTGGGTTTCGCTATCTACAGAGCCGTGGCCAGACTGAAATGACCAACAGCGAGTTGGGTGATTGTGTTTTTTTGTCGACCTGAAGCTCCATCCATCAAGACCAAACCACTGAGGCCAGATCCAGAACCATTGCAGTCTAAACTTGACGAAGCCCTTATCATCACCATCATCATCATCATCATACTTTTTACCCTAAAGACTCTAAGGAAACTTTCCATATCTTTGCCATTCTCACTGTCTGACCTCTTCACTTTGAAGTCAGCTCATCACAACAGTCCAGAGGCAATTGGAAGCTGATGATGATCGCGTTGTTCCCTGTGCTGCCGTTGCCCAGCTTTTTGCTGCCTTATCTAACCAGGCTAAGTAGGGGTTAGCCTGTCTGCGCTTGATGCACAAAGAACTGCTACTGTTAGTGTCCAAAAAAAGGTGCTTTATCATGGGGAAGAAATGCAGGAAGATAACAGTGCTTTCCCCTCAATCATCTGATGAGTGTTAATAGTGAGAGTTTTTATATACATGCAGTGTTTCCCAAGCATAATAGAAAAATGCCAAAATGAGCAGACTAAAGAACCAAAGGGGAGCACATGACGCATTTTTAACAAACGATTGGCTTTCACGGAAAATCCCAAGTGAACATTTCTCCTTTTGACCAAGAGACGACAGAAGATGGTCCTATCCGATTTGCCAAATAACTCCAGCAGCAATGAATAATAGTAGCATGTTGCCTGCCCCTTAGGCATACCGTTTTGCCTGAGAATACATTATATTTAGCTTGAATCTTATTGTTAAAATATTTTTAGCAGTAAGGCATCCACTGAAATGCTGTAGCAGGGAGAGATTTCTCTTTGTGCATGAAAAAGATTGCTTTATGTGGAAGACGGCGGTTTGCATTTGCAAGAAAGCAAAAAAAAAAAGAACGTCTTCTTCTCTAATACGAAGCCAGGTTAAACGTGAAGATTATAAAATGCAAGAGAAAATGTGGTCAGATTGATCTCTGCTTTTGCTCGATTAGCCTCTCTTCTGTTCACATTGAAATGGAATTAATTTTAATTGAGACTGAAATAGATTAGTAATTTGTGATTTCTCGATTCCCATGCACCGGCCACTGTGCATACAGTTTGACTGTGTTACATAATCTGCCATTGTATCGTTTTCCCAACATGAGTCGGTCATGACGGTGTCTGTTTTGTGGATTAATTCAGGCGAGGGCCTGCTCTTTCTGCAGGACACATTTCTGTGACTTTTAAAATGCTGTTTTCTTACTGAAAGTGAACTGATTTAGATGCTTAATAAAAGACCAGACCACACTGGGTTGGGACTTTGGCCCAAAAGATGTTACGGGTGTTGGGATGAAAGATATGTGGTGGATGCTCTGCTTAATGTTAATATGTTTGACAGTGGGTGTTTTTTTTTTTAAATCTTGATTTGCAGAATATTTATTTTCCCAGGATTTATACACAAATATCAGACCGCGAACACACACAATGCTGCATGTGTGTACGAGTGAAGGATTCAGAGGAGGCTTTGTTTCAAACATTACGGTCTGAATGCCATATGATCTTAGTCACAAAACCACATTTGTGTCAAACATAATTTGCTTCAAAAATGGATATTCTGTGGTTCTTTGGAAATCGGATTACCGCGTGTTGAAGCAACGCCAATTACTACCCTTCACATCTCAGAATGCAGCAACAACAAGCCTGAACGAGTGCTCCTCTTTGATCATTCATCCAGGAGCTGTTTAATAAGGTTCGTTTGATGATCTTACACTTGTCTTTAGAGATCATAATGAATAACGGTGTGTAGAGGGTAATTTCTATGTCATCTTGACTCTCAGCATCAGTTCGGCTCCAGCCTGGCTGCTGCTGCTGCTGCTGCTGCCTCCTCCTCGGTCCCACAGCTGCAGTGAAGACGCTGTTCCTGCGCGTCGCCACAAGATGGCAGTGTTGTTAGCCAGGTGAGGAGCAGGACAGCGAGCGGTGGGTGTGTCTGCGAAAGCATCTTCTCAGTGATGCGCAGCCGCTACGGGAGAAGGAGATGATTGGGTTTGGAGTGTGTGTGTTCAAACCAGGGTGAAGAAAGTAAACGAGAGCTCCAAGTTCACCTCTATGCCCTCTGTAAAGGACAAATCTGCACAAAAGACACATCATTTCTCCACTAAATTAATATTCTGACCATGTTATCACTGTTCAGCTCTCTGAAGGTGTTATATTTCTGTTCACTGTATAATCTCTGGCATGCAGGTCTTCACTTTAAATCGCTACTAAACTCCTCTCCGCCCCTCATGGATGCTTGGTAAAGAAGTTACTTAGAGGAGCGATTGTAGTTATTAATGTAACCTGATGATATTTAAAACTGCTGCTTTTTATGTAGTGCCCATTTCATAGTCAACACTTCATAACTCGCAGTCCTCTTAAGTGTCACTATATTTAATCAGCCTCCTTCTGACAGAAAAGCATCCACCTCACTGAAGCTCCACTTTGTCTGCAGCATCTTGGTGCACAATAGCTGTCATTTCTTAGAGAGAAAAAAAATCAGGTGGAGGAGGTTTGCTTGTCAAAGATATCTCTTTCTATGCACACACACACACACACACACATATGTATCCCAATGGAGGAGATAATGCTTTACGTTCCATCTTTGAAATACCCAGAAAGTCCTCCTCACCGAGCACATTTACGCACGCGTAAAATGCGCGCAATAAAGTTCACAAACACTTTTTTTGTTTTTTTTAGAAGATGACAAAGGTTTATTGAACTGTAGTGTCAACAGTCTTTAAAAGTGACTGGAAACAGTGGGATGTTTGTATATCATGAGTCGTCTGAACATGAGAATTTTTTTTTTTTTTGACAGAATGGACGCTGAATGACAACTATGGAGCCTTTAGGAAAAATCTTGCTGACGTCCACTGCCTATGGTCTGTACATTGTAAAGGCTCAACAATGCTCACCATTCAAACATTTGTATTTTCAGTATGACCCCGTGCACTAACAATAACTATAGTTAGTTGGACTGTATTTACACTTTCAGTCGAGCTTACACGTATCCAAGGATCAGACAGAAATTAACGGTATTATTATTATTAACGGAATAAAAATGCTCACAGGTATTTCTACAGCTTCTTCAGGCTATAGTGCAATGGAGAGAAAACTACTGGTAGAAACAGCATAAGTTTGCATGAGACCTTACAAAAATAATACATATACGAAAACATTTCCTTAAGTATTTACAGTGACTTTGTCTTTCTCATAGTGTCCTTTCTTTTCTTTTTTTTCTTTACTTCTTTTTTGCTGATTTGGCTCCCTTTTTGGCCGTCTTTGCCTTGGGCTTCGCTGCTTTCTTTGCTGGTTTTGGTTTGGCCTTGGCTGGCTTGGCTTTCTTAACTGGTGCCTTTTTGGCTTTCACCGGCGTCGCCTTTTTCGCGACCCTCCTCACTTTCTTTGCAGCTGCCTTCTTGGGCTTTTCCGGCGTCTTGTGCACCTTCTTGGGTTTGGACGCCTTCTTGGGTTTTGCGGGCTTCGCAGCCTTCTTGGGTTTGACGACCGCCGCTGTCTTGGTGGTCTTTTTGGTTTCCTCCGGCTTGTTCAGCCTGAAGGATCCGGACGCGCCGATGCCTTTGGTGTGGCGCAGCGTCCCGTCCGCCACCAGCCTCTTCAGGGCCATTTTAATCTGTACATCGGCGTTGTCTCCCACCTTGTAGTTCTTGCGCACGTACTTCTGGATGGACTGACGGGACGCTCCGCTCCGGCTCGCGTCGTGAACAATAGCGGCTCTAATCATCTCCGAGTACTTGGGATGAGAGGCAGGTTTCTTGGGCTTGGATGTCTTCTTGGCTTTGGCTGGAGCTGCCGACGTCTCTGCCATGATGACTTTTCTTTCTTAATAATAAGTTAACAAACAAGTCCTGGAGGTGTAATTTCAGCCGGCTCGGTGCACTGGAACGTCAGGAAGAGCGGAATAAATGCGCGTCCAGAAAAAACGCTTTTTCCTTTTCTCTCTTCCCACAAAGTCCTTGTAATCAGACAATGTCAAGCCGTGTTTTTAAAAGAAAAATAACATTAATATAATCATCCGCACAAAGTGTCGCGTCTGCACACCGGATCACTTAAGTGTCTTATTCCACAGGCGCTTCAGTGAGCCTATGAAGCCTATCTGCGGACGTGATTGAGAACACCAACTGCCAGCAGCTGATCTAGCGGACTCCATGGAACTGGCGCCGTCCCGTTTGTGTTTCTTCATCCTCCAACTCGCGACAAATATAAAAACTGCGGATGAGCTGTGATCCACGGAACCTCATGGGCTGAAAGCAGAGACATTGGGCTTCACGGGGACACACTTGTTCCGCCGGATCGGCGCCGGCGAACAACTTTTATTCCTGGAAAACCCGCTGGAAGTAACGCGTGCCGTGAACAATTTTGCACAATTCGCGTTAAATTGACCCAAACGGACGGAACCGGCGGCCGAATCACGCGACGCAAATCCAAATCGAATCTTTGCCCGGTGCGATGCGCGAGGTTCGGCAGGCGCAGGATCCCGTTTTTCCTTTTAATACATCGATACATTTTCCCAACTAACACAGTCCGGCCATTGACTTTGAGTGACGTGGTCGAGATTATTTACTGTTAAACCTCCTATAAATGAAATGTCACAATATGTAAGTCACAGGTGACACTCGGGACGGTACCGGGGGTTGATTCGGGTCGTGTCGCGGCGGGTAGGTTTGCTTTGATCGCCGGTTTTGGGGGCAGATTTGCTTATAACTGTCACTATGGCAGTCGCCACTCGAGCTCCATTGTCAGGAAAGTTGCCAACACCTCCAAAGATCAGGGATTGTGATTGCGGTTAATAAAACTGATCACCGCGTTTGAGGCAGGGGTCAAAGCCGAGTGGGGTGTCCAGGTGTGCGTCCAGCTGCGGGGAAGAGGAGGGTGGCGGTGGTGCTGGTGGAGGGGGGGGGGGCACCGCAGCCGAAACCAAAGTCCTTCAATATAGGGCGCAGTGATGGCTTTCTTTTGTTCAGGAACTGGCGCATCAGGACCACAGGCAATAAACAGCTCCCACATGAGGTCCCCCCATCTTTATTATATTCATGTGAGGTGGACGTGCACGGCAGTAAATACCCACCCAGATTACAAACTTTGCAAATAATTCTGCTGGATTATTTCTTATTTTAATATCAGGTCTCATGTCCCTCCCTGCAACGCCATTTTGATTCGTATGTGAAAGTCACAGCCACTGAAGTAGTGTTTAATTTTCTCCCCCCCACACACACATCCTGACTTTTGTGGCATTATTAGGGGGACCATTTTGGGGGATAATAACCAAATTTTCTATCCTCCTCGTCATCAATGGTGCACGACAAAGCCGGCTGCTTGATGGAGGTCCTCCTCTAACTACTGAGGGAACCAACCCATTCCAAAGTGTCCCCTGTCACACATTGAAATCCACCTTAATTACAATTACACCCAATCTGCCTGCTTGGTTGCTAGATTGCAGCTGATAAACAATAATCAAGTTGGAGTCACTCTTCCTCCACCTGTGTCCACTGAGGTGAGGAGTGTGTGTTTTTTTGTGTGAGGATGGGTGAGTTAAGGAGTGAGGGAGGGGAGGGGAGGGGGAGTGAATGAGTGAGTGTTTTTCCTGAGCTGGGAGGGAATGGATGAGAGGATGAGTTGGTGAATGGGTGACAGTGTGTGTGTGTGTGTGTGGGAGGGTCCATATCAAACAGTGTTTATTCTCTATGGCACAAGTGCAACAAAAAAAAAAAAAAAAGGAGGGGGTGAAGGAGTGAATAAATGAAGCTGAGGCGAGCAGGGGTGACTGAGTGAATAAAAATATTTATATGGCGCAGGAAGTAAAAGGAGCAAATTGAGGAGGGGGGGGGGTTGGAGGTAATTGAGGTTGTGCAGTTGTGCGCTGGCTGTGCAAAGAGTCTAATGGTTGTGTGATGCCTATTGTTTGGCTGCTCGGGCCATGTGCAGCAGGGATTTCGTGCGTCGCCTTGTGCGTGTGCGCATGCATTTTGGAGCGCTGCGTTGTTTTTGTCACCGATTGTCCAGAGTGATGTGTTATTGTCTTGTGCCCCGTTTAGGGAAGCGGTGCTCGGGGAGAGAGAGAGCAGGAGAGAGAGGGAGGAAGGGGAGAAAAAAAAGAAAAAAGCAGCAGCCAAACACTGACTTCTCTCCCGGTTAGACCACTCCCTTCATCCACCGACAGAGGGACGTCCTCCACGGTGGCTGGACCTCCGGAGCACCTCTTTGCTCAACGCGCACCATCAAAGTAATTATCACTGGAATGATATATAACTTGACGCTTTTATTAGGGGCCACATGCTGCGCGTTCCTCTTTCATAGGCGACTGATAATTGGGTAAAAATGTATAATTATCCAATGACTGCACATGAATCCGTGCCAGAGGGGGAGGAAGGGGAGGGGAGGGGTGGGACTGCTGGGGACAGAGCTCAGAAGATTAGTTAATTAATTAATTGATGGAATATTAATTGGAAGCCATTTTGACAGATGATTAACTCCCTTAAAAAAAAATCCTTGATTGCAACCATTGTGATGATTTGCTGCTTCCCTCTGTCTTACATCATAGTAAATAACAAAAGAGGCAGTTTTGGTCACATGTTTTTCAGAAAAAAAAGGGAAAAAAATCAACAATAGTAAAAATAGTGGTGTTTGCAGCCCTACATGTGGATATGTGTTCATTGTTGCAGCCTCTAGTTTTTCCATCTCTGCTGCCACCACATTGAAATCCAGGTTAGAATGTTAATTTCAGCGTCTGAGGTGCAGATATATTCAGTTTACATAATGCCAACGCTGGTTTATTTGTCAGAAGTTGGAGAGAGTGGGGTGGGAGTTACATTACATATGTATTTAAGGCAGACAGCCACACCATCGTGTCAGGTGCGTTTTAGTGGCGCGCCTCTAAATTTATCTGATGCCAGTTTGTAATTTTAGCTGGCCAAAACCCTCTCAAGTCTTGTCCTCGTCTGTGGCCCCAGAGCATGCTGGGAAACATCATCCACCATTTCGCGTCCAAAGGCCTCGGCGTGCTTGAAAGGTCCACAAGTCTCCAGCGCATTGTGTTGAAAATTCCGAGGCGCTTTGGTAAAAGGAATGTGTGGCTTGAAGATAAGGTGAAATTGGATCACTTCTGTTTCATTTACTCAGGTGGCAAGTAAAGAAGTCACCAGACAGGTTTGGGATTAGATAATCTCTTATTTATGCCGTGAATCTTCAGGGTCGTCTTACACTTCTGTAAATATGTCACATCAAAGTATTTTACCCCCTTCTACGAGTAGCGTCAGTGTAATTCCTTAAATTCCACATGATATGCTTTTTTCTAAATCATCCCGACCACCCAAAAAATCCAGTAGGTTGGAGGTGGAAAGATCCCACTGCTGCTGCTGCTGCTGCTGTGTTTCATTCATGAGGGAGTTTTAGGAGATTTAATAGTTTAAGTTGTGCCAAATGTTGTTTAACTACAATATGTGGCTGACTGTCTATGTAAAGTGTATCTAAAAGGTACAGATACTAATCCAGCACACAGTTTTGTTGTTGTTATTGTTGTTGTTTAGAAGTTCTGCTATCTCCTCATGGTCCGCTAGCTCTCTGTTCTGTGTGTGCTTTAAAAAAAAAAAAAAAAAAAAGTCCAGGGCTTGTACACAGTGTTGGCTCTGTTAAAGGGAAACAAACAGAGTGACTCGGACTGATTCACACAACGCTATTCAAGCGTGTCCTGTGCACGTTAGTGCTCGTGCACAGGACAGTTGGGAAGGGAAGTCAGATGAGGATTAAATGGAGCAGCGGTGGCGAGAGGGGCGGAAAATCAGACACATGCTAAAATCAACAAGCTCTGTAAATGCAATTACAGTAGCCCAAGAAAAATGTCCCTAAAGAGACATTAAAGTGTATTTGATCTTATTATAAAGTACCGCAGCAACTCAAAACACTGTTACAAAAATTACCGTAATACAGTTTTGAGTTGCAGGTGAAGTGCAAAGTAGGTAGAATGCCACAGAGCAGAAGCTTTTTGTGTAGCGACAGTCTCAAAGGACTTCACGACAATCACAGTCATGAAAACAAATGACTCCAGCACCTCCAAAACTGCAAAACCTTCACCTATGTCTTCCTACATGTCCAAGCAATGCACCTAATGTGTTTTCCTCCACATATACTGGATTATACCATCATCTGCATGTGACAGGGTTTCATATTAATTCTGCTCTCAGAGTAGTTTAAGAGAAAAAAAATAAAAGCTATGCATGAATAGCGTATAATTTATCAACACAAGAAAGCTTCTTTACTCAAGATACTTCCACTTTCTTTACACCTTGTTGTTTTGCATTGGCTTGAGCTTCAGGGTTTTGTTTTTCGTTCTTTGGGCTCTATGCTTCACCACATTCAATTTGAAATAAACTAATGGATGCAACATTAAAGTGCCAAGTCAGAGCTTCAGTTTTGGTAGGTTTACGTTGATATTTGAAGAACAAAAAACTCTGAAATCTAGTTTTTTCAGCACATAGTGCCCATCTTCCAAGGGCCCACATGTAATTGGACACTTGGACACTAAATGTTCCTCGGGCAGCTGTGTGTCGTCTAAACGTTGCTGCAAAGAGCTCACATGTGGCTCCGAATTGATAGAAATGACCTGGTTTGCCGAGGAACACAAGTGTTGTAGACGAGCGGAAAATCTGTTGCATGGTGATGAAAAATCTCTTTATGACTGCTCGGCGAGTCAATACTGCCGTCTGAAATGGAGGCGAACGCGTTTCCTTGTCAACAAAAAGAAGACGAGAAACTCGTTGGGTTCACCACTAGATGCAAACAGAAAAGGAGAGAATGTCGCTTACAGAGACGTCTAAAGAGAAAGCAGTAGGGTTCTGTAAAAAATCCAGGAGAGAAGGAGGAAAGTAGGAAGGAAAAAAGGGAACAGCTCATGACACAAAGACTGCATATTATTGGTATGTACACTATGACACACCAGCTGTGGCCATGAGGTGGACATTGTTCACTTCAGCTGCCAATCACACACAAAACCGTTTATGTCTCGATGATTAGGTCTGCACTGAAGTAGCAGCGTGCCACGTTGAGACAACAAAGTGCGAAAAAGTCTTTGACAC